CATTGCCAATAGAACTTTATCAAAGTAATTTGATAACTACAAGTTTGGAAATAATTGCACACCCACACAATTTTACATCAACACTTATTCATTGTCATAAATGTCACCTTCATAAAACAATTTAAATAACACACATTTCAAAAATATATCTCTGGAACAAGTATAAATAACTTTTAATAACACAATAATATATTACACCACTTACATTTAACAAACAATCTCACACACATCTCAAATTCATTGGATCAAATCTACCTCCTCAAGAACTTCCCGTTTACTGTCAAACAACTGCAATAATAGTATTGAGTTCTCCATTCAACAATATACAGTAGTTTCAAACATGTTCTACCATCCATCTATTAATAGAGTACCGGCATGTAAGTAATTTTATTTTATTTCATTTATTTATTTGCTCATTCATTAATTTATTCCAATAGAAGAGATTTTATGACAACTTGTGGGCCTTACCTTGTCCTTTTAACTTTTTTAAAAAAATATTTATACCTTTTATTCAACTCAATCATTTAATAAAACCACAGACAGGTAATATTGGCATAATTATTGTAATTTATAACATCTAATTTGTTTATCTTTATTAGACAACACCCTAATATGGGTTTTTATCATTTCAGCATTTGTTTAACTTTGTACCGAGACCTGAAGATGCTTTGCATATTGTAGAAAGCGAAACCGGTCGTCGGATAGTTAAATTAAATTGATTGTGAGTAAGTCTGATTTATTATTTCTTTACCCATTGATTAGTACTTTCCTGATATTTGGGTACTGACTAATACATCGTCCTTTTATTTCAACTTTCCTATCATCAATTTTTATTTTTCGCAAGTACCAACTGCAGATCGTCCATGTATTCACTAGGACTGGTTTTTTATTTTATTTTACATATTATATAGAAATTGATTTTATTTTGTTATTTATATTGAATACATTTTTGTTTAGAGTCTTAGATCTTAGACTGGTGTCTAACAGAACCTGTCACAATTCTAACAACATTAAAGATTCTGACGATACAGTAATTTTGCAGACATTACATTAAAATTTACCAACAATTACATAACACATATTAAACTAATACAAAAAAAAAAACAAAATACACGTTAATTGTTAAGTCCAAAATTAGATCAGATAACTTTTGGTGTATTCCAGTGCGACTTTTTCAAATTTTTTGTGGTCCTCTAGCCCTGACTTATAAATTAAGAAGAAACCTTATGTACTTAAAACATGTGATGAGAGCGCAAAAATACTTATTATTAAAAGTTATTATGCAATGAAAAATTCTAGGAAAGCGAAATGTGGAAAGACAAAGAATACCGTGTCTTAAGAACTTGAGAGAATGGTTTGAATGCAGTAGTACAGAACTAGTTAGAACGGCAGTCAACAAAGTCCTTCAATTCTAACCCCATTTTAGATTGGGAGATTTCTTTAGAACTTCCTGGACTTTTCATGTTCGATTTTTCTATAGAAGTTCCATGCCCTTCAGCTTTAGGAACTGTGGTTTGACCTTTCCGCTTTGGCTCTGAGTTTTCCTTTCTTCGTTTCAACATATTAGTCTCACGAGTAGCTAGGGAAGGATAGTCCACCTCTCGCATAGCTCCGCTTAATGAAATGTGGCCTATTTCTTTAAAGAAACCGTTTGCGATATTGTTACCTCAGTTTCTTAGACTTTTCACCATGATGTCTCACGACTGCGCTTAGGGATTTTCTATCGGCTATCTTGATCTAGATCCGCTGGATTCAGTTTCAACAGGGTCACATCGAAAACGGTGTACCGTGAAATGGGGTGAGATTGATCAATTTTAACTTTATTTGATTTAAATTTAAACGTTTTTGTGTTATATTACGTATTATATTAATATCTAAAGAGTAGTGATTTAACACTAGTTTTGTTTTAATTATTAAGAAAATCAACTTATCTCGTAAAAAAATCGTATACAAAATAAAAATTTAACAACTAAAAATGTAATTCAGAACAATTTATTAAATAAAGAAAATTTGATTTAACATTTTGTTATATTAATTTCTTAGCGAAAATGATATTTTTGTTTCCTATTAGAAATCGTCTCGAGTGTCGGATCTGGTAGTAAGGCAATTACTTCCTTGAAGGGAACAGTGGATATATATACCCGGTATTTAGGAGGCACACGCCCTTCCGGTAGGGATCTATGGAGGAGTATCACCGAGCCGCAAGCCCTTATCTCTTGCCGTACTGCTCCACCATAGGCCGATCAGACACCAGCATATTCTAGTCTAAGCCGCAGATTCATTTAGAATTTTAAACTGCTGCGTTACCTTTTTTGTTTTCTGTACACCGAGCTGGGGATCGAACTCACTTCACTCGCAGTGAAGCGAATGAGAAACCGGCCGCCTAGCCCGCTTGGCTATCTGACCGACTGGAACAATGGATGTGCCATTTTCAATTATTTTAAAAATTTGTATCGATCCTGCTGATTTAAGGCCTTGAACTTCGATTTCTTCTCCTTCCAAAACTCCTTTTACCTGACAGACATATCTAAATTCCGTCTTTTTTAAAGAACCAGACAAAAATCTTACTATCTAACAGCTATTTTCCCTTCATGATGTTTTAAAATGCAGGATAGAAGTATTCAACCTCCTCTTAATCTTTTTTAATATCAACATCATTGTTGCTGTCATCTAATTCCAGGTTTTAATTTGAATCATCGTCACTCGACTCCTCTGATGTTTTAGGTGCTGTAATACTTTGACCAGGTTCGGCTGCTAACAGTTTTATTTTACGTCTAGGTTTCTCAGAGCCGGAATTGTACCTTAAGTATATTAAACAGTAAGTAAGAGAGCATCTAAGCTCGACTTGATCAATAGCGTCTTGTGGTGGCTTTTTCAAAACTCAATTGGGGCTGAATAATGCAATGCCACATGCTTTAAAACCAGAAAGTAAATTTCTTTTAACATTACTTTTCTCTCCGTCTGGATTTGTAGGTGGTACTTTATTCATGATTTCAAGTGTTTGCTTTAACAACTTAGAAATTTATTTTTCGGAATACCAGAGGTTTTGGAATTTTGCATTTTCCATGATGTTAAAGTTTTCCTCCAGCTTTATTTTAAGAGCCTGAATAATGCGACATACAATGGCTGGCAAATATTAGTAGATTTGGCTAGTAAGCATGCAAATATTATTATATTATTTTCTTTACATGGTCTCAGAATATCTGGATTAAAATGAGATGCTAGGTTGTCCCCTATAAACACATTTTTTTCATCGAGTCGCCTATCATGTGGTAAAAAGCAAGTGACAAACCAATCATTAAATGTTGATATATCAATTTAACCATGGGAGGTTCGATTATATCGAACATATCTATCATATCCCATTCTCTCCAATTATCTCATAAATTTTCTGCCTTGTATATGGCGTATGGTGGCAGAAGTATAACTGAGGTGGATCCATGAATCATTATCGATGTAGCAGATTTTAAATGGTTGCATATTTTTTCAAGATATTTAGCACCTCTTTGGTAGGTAAAAATTATGGTTAATTTCAAAGCCACATAATTTCTTCCCAATTCCAATTGCAAACTAACAACGTTGTTGCCGGTTGTATCTACATATATGTGATACAACGACAAATGATCAATATCACCCCGGGAGATCAACCTCACCCCATTTTACAGTAATCAAAGTATACGACGGTTTAAGAAGATGCAAAGTTTTAAGACTCTCCATGCAAAACTCGTTCCCTGTAAATAATTCTTTTCCAGCTTTACGCTGTTTATAGAAGGAATATAGCCGTGGATTCTAGCGCAAAATACTAAACACACATCTTTTGGTTAATCTCCAGTCGATTAATGTAGTTCATTGACATATAGTCATACATACCTACAATAAAGATAACTTCTTGCAAGTCGTTTTTCAGGGCAAGGTATATGGAAAACGAGGACCAAGGAGAAGAAAGATTGCTTTGCTTCAAATCATGGAAAAATAGTTCAAACCCTCTATTGCCTGATCATTTCGGATAGTTGTCAGCAAAGTAAAGATAGTCATTTTGATCGCCAACATCCGGAATAACAAGCACCGCAAGAAGCAGAAGGCATAATCCTACACTAAATTCCATATGTGCAAGTCCAAGGCAACCCTAATATTTTGCCGTTCGTATCTGATTATGGTATCTAAGTTTTATCTGGGTTCTTTTTCTTTGTAAAATTAATAAAAGTATTTTGTTTCGTCAAATTTAATTCACCAACATTTATTCCAGTAGATAATTGTGTTAACAGGCAACAGCAGTTGTCTTATTGCTTCTCCATAATCCGTGCTACAGCCAGCGTGAAGATACTACCGTGCTACAGCCAGCACGGTAGTATCTTCAGCAAAGATGGTTATGCTGTTAAAAATTGGCACAGGGATATCACTAGTGTACAGTAGGCATATAACTCATCCTAACATAATCTAGTGATACCCAATAATTAACTTATTTTAATTACGAGTAAGTTTCTCCCTGCTCAATAGTAAAACTTCTACTTGAAGCGGAGTATTCCAACAATTAAGTATATTATTATCATAGTAGCTACGCTTTCGAAGAGATTCCAAAATTCTGACCATCAGGTTCTGTATTATATTAACAAATTATATAGTCGTGAACTTTTTTTAACAGGATGCATAGGTAAAGTTTGCATTTAGACTTAGTATTATTCCTACTACTAAATATTGTTTCGCCCTAAATATAGTAAAAAAAAAAATTTCTGTTTTTTATTAAATTATAAGTATTTCGATTTTAAAAACGAAATATACAAATCGTCTCAGTCAGGTTTGGTCAACTAACGTTAAATTACAATATTATTTATACCTAATATTATTATAAATAAACCACAAATTTCCGTGTTGTTTTTTTACTACTGTGTAATTAACATAGTTCGCATTCAATTAGTTACTCAATTATAGCAAAATATGTTATTTTACTTGTTTATGTAATATTGACTGCATATACGCTAATAACACGTATTTAAAAATATTTTCAACAAATTAACATGCGTCAAATAAATTTGTTATAGTTTTTCCTATGTGCAATTTCAAACAAAACATATTTTATATTGATTCGAAAAACAGGTATGAGGACAAAATATTCATCAAATCAAAATGAATATTACAATTACTACATATCTGATTATTTTTGGTTCATTTTTGTTTATGTACGGAGAAGCGAGTTCAAAAATAAAACATAACATGGACGTAATGGAAGAAGGTTCCGAAAGTTCTGTGATGTATGAATTTCCCACAAATGCAAAAATGTACGAAGCAACAGAAGAACCGATAATAGGTAAGGAAATAGATTTGTACGTTCGCTAAAACTTATTCATAGGCATAATATGGCATATGTGTTCCATTTGTTAACAAGTAAAGTGCGTATGAAGGTAGGACAATATTGACAATAATGACAGGAAAATATATGTGCTCAGTCATTCTCAATAGGTCTCCAACTCATTTTAAACCTCTTCTTTCTATTCTGTCAATGACCGTTTTTGTAGCATTCATGTTATTTCTTATACATTCGTTGGTCTTCCTTTCCAGCCTTGATGTTCTAGCACTTTTTCTCAAATAATGCATTTCAACTGCCAACAATCTTCTCTTTCAGGTCTGCATTAATTGTCCATATTTCAGAGCCATAACAAAGAACTGATTCAACCATGGTTTTACTATGCTATAACCTATTCTTTTTTATTTGCTACAACCTATTCTTTTTTCGTTCCTTTTCGGTTTCTCCCAAGTCATTCTTATCAATGAGTGCATCGAAACATTCAAATTTTTCCACTTCTTTGATTTTCACATCATCGTCTATCAACACTTCAAATTTTGCATCTGAATTGATAACTAAAGATTCTGTTTTCTTCATGCTAACTCGTAATTCCCATTTTACATATTCTCTGTATAGACGCTTTATTATAAATTCTAGTAGATCATAAGAATCTTGAGCTAGGACAACTTGGTCATCTGCAAAGTTCAGGGAGAACAGTCATTTCCTATGGGGATTCCCATTCCCTGGCAGTGGTTTTTCCAATTTTGGAGGGCTGCCTTAATATATAAATTAAACAGTAAGGGTGACATACATCGTCCTTGTCTCAATCCTTTAGTTACTTTTATTGTTAGAATCAATGTTTTAAACAATATTTACAATTTGCAGATTATGGAACATATGACTTTGTAATAGTTGGCGGCGGTACGGCTGGATGTGTAGTAGCTAACAGACTTTCAGAAATCGCAAATTGGAGTGTGCTTGTGATAGAAGCTGGAAATTACACTAGTCTTGGAGTACATCAATTTATCTCAAATACTTTTTCGCTGACACATCGCTCAAATTTTAACTGGGGCTATCCAATGGTATCACAAAGACCTGATGGTTCAGGTAAGTTAAAGTTGATAAAGTCGGTTGGCTAATCCAGTCCCAACAGTCTAGTGAATCTAGTAATTATTTTTTTGCGACATAAGTTATATTTTGACAGACTAGAAGGGACAGGAAATTACTGTACAACCAATCCATCGAGTTAGAATCTATGGAGAAGATATGAGCATATTAACGTATGTATTAAAAACGGCGTAGGTAGGCGTGGCTAACGATAATACCAATATGGCGGTGGGATCAGGGCCAGACTCAATAATATTGAAACTACTATACAAATATGACTAGTTATTCAAAAGATTTAATCATAATCTAAAATAGTGCAATACTTTTTAATAAACTATGATTTATTTATCCCGCGGTAAACACTAAAAACACGATATATTATACATAAAGATAAATAATACAGTCAAATACTATTAATTTATTCTCTTAACTACGGGCCATTACTTTGTTTTCATATTTGTATACTAACCTGCGGAACGATATTCCTGAAGATTATTTATTACCTTTGCTTCTGCTACTGCAACTACGTTGAGAACAAGGAACCATTACTGTTCACTATCACAATATATATTATTACAGTTTCTATAAAAGTATTATAAAACTAAAAATATTAAAAATATATATTAAATATATTTTTAATATTTATAAATTATAAAAAATATATTAAAAAATATTAAAAAACGTTACGGAGATGCCCATCTACAACAAGTTTACAAAGTACAAATAAGAAGTAGAATCCAACGAGCATGTGAGAGTTTGCAAGAATTTAAAGCAGATATTGCTCGTATAGCGCTGTTGGCCTATCCAGAGGCACCAGACATTTTGGAAGAAATTGCTGTAGATGCCTTCGTCAATGGGTTGAGAGACAGTGAACTACAGAAAGCTTTACGACTAGCAAGACCGAAAGTTTTAGATGAAGCGCTCGCCATTGCCTTGGAACATGAGATAGCTCGTCGAGTTTCACGGAGCTATAAAGTACGCACCTCTGAAGAGAGTGACGAACTAAACGATAAACGTCTAGAGGAAATCGTACGGAAAGTAGTTCGTAACATGATGCCGAAGAGACGTGAACCCAGATGTTGGAATGGTAATAACGAAGGTCACATTCGCCACAAAGTGCAAGAAAATAATACAACAGTCAGAAAGCTAGAACAGATCGAGCACTATGCTGGAAAAAGTCATTCAAATGCTGATGTTCAATCAAGACGGCCATACAGTGCAAATCGTATTCATTGTCTTAAATTAGAAGAAAGACTTTGCCCCGTGAGACGAACCACCTACATAATGATCAATGGCAGCCACAACAGCTACAAGACGCTCAAGCAGATGATCCATGTATAAAAAGAGTATTGGATTGGGTGCGTCGAAGTGAAAGACCTTCTTGGCAAGACATTAGTGCATGTAGTCCCGAAGTCAAGTGTTACTGGAGCCAATGGAATTGCCTAGTGCTGAAAGATGATCTTCTGTATAGAACCTTTGAGAACGATGATGGCACAGAAACTAAGCTTCAGTTGATTGTACCTAAAAGTAAAGTGTCAGAAGTATTGCGTCAGTTGCATGACGGTGCATCAGGTGGACACTTTGGTATTACGAAGACTGCAAAAGTTTCGAGAACGGTTCTATTGGGTGAACTGTAAAGATGATGTAAGAAGATAGTGCCGGAAATGTGAACTGTGTGCAACTAGTAATGGTCCAGTTAGTAAAAAGAGAGCACCCATGAACTGTAAACTTATAAATAAATATATTTATATAAATTCGAACCGCTCGTTTTATTTAAAAACGGTACAATAGTATGCATAATAGTAATAAAATAATAGTATATCACGCGCTGCATCTTTAATATGTATTTTTATTTTTTCCTAACAGGGATCAATTATATCTTCCTCTAATTGTTTCTCTAAATCTTTTCTCATAAAAAGTGGTGTCTGCATTAAGATCATTAACATAGTTTCTCTGCAATATTTTTTTCGGATTCAGCCGTTTGCTAATTTTTTTGTGATCTGAATTTTATTTTAATTTTTCCTAATAGCAGAGAATGGTCACTACCGACATCAACAGAGTTCAGAGTTCTGACTTGATTCTAAATTCATCAGTAAATTAAAAATTAAAAAATAATATCTATAGGTCCTAAAGAAATAGGTAAAAGGAATGTATATGGATGTATATATATATATATATATATATATATATATATATATATATATATATATATATATACAGTGTAGGTAAAATTTTAAGGTCGGTATGGTAAAATTTAACAGGATATCTAACGCAGATATAAAATCATATTTTCAATGAATTAGACAAAGATAACAATCATATTTCCCCTTCGTCTCCCCTCCTAAAATCCTTTTAACACTCATTGGCCATTGCCCATTAGTGAGACGATTAGTTCCGATCAGATATTCTCTGGTTCCGATCCTAATATACCTAAAAAACTAGAGGTGGGTCTTCTCGTTTTTTAAATTTTTATCGGAACCGTTTTTCGTAAACTGTAACTAGTTGATTGTTTACCAGTATTCAAATTAGCGAGTACACAAACATATTAGCTATTATCGTTTATGTGTATAAGTATTGAAATAAAAGAACCTAACGAAGGATATATTTATTGTAACTTGAAAAATAAATTAAATAATACAAATGGTACTTAAATAGTTACATTTACATTACACATTATTAAATCGCGAATCGTCTAAATTGACATTTAAAAACATAAGTTTTTCCGCTTTTCTTGTTAATCGCGTTCTTCTTTTATTTAAAATTATACCAGATGTTAAACATGTGTTCACAAGGAAAAGATTTTGTTACAATACTACAACATTTTATGAATATAGTAGTTAAGTTACGATATACATGGCGATGGTTTTTTCACCACGGTAATGGACAGTTCCAATCTCCGTTCGAAATTGTTTGTGGGTAATATATCATCAGACAATTACATGTCGACTTCTTTTATACCTCTCGATACAGGTGTATGTTTAGATGAGTCATGTCCAATCAATTCATCAAAAATACACCATGGACTTAAGTCATCTTTATCAGTTTCTTTTTCTTGGACTGATTGATTTTCAAGATTTACTAAACTTTTCGTTTCATCCGTTTTCCATAGTTAAAGAACCAGCTTTTAAAAAGTTTGCAGGGTGGATTCCTGGATATAAACCGCCAACAAGAAAAACTTTGTCAGGTTCATTACTTCAGGAATGTTATGTCAAAAGTGAGCAAATTATTAGATCGCAAGTTGTTAAAGAAGTAGAAAATATCTGTATTACTACTGACCTCTGGACATCTGGAGTAACTGAGAGTTACTTCGCATTAACAGGACAATATTTAACCGAAAATTTAGTATTCAAAACTTTTTTATTAGGCTGCTGCCATTTTTCTGGAAACCATAATCCAGAAAACAGCGATTACTGAAATTATTAATCAGTCGGGTCTAAAACGAAAAGTAAATTTTGCAGTAACTGATAATTCCTAAAATATGGTCAAAGCTATTAAATATGTTTTGTTTTATGATGATTGTGATTTATGATGATGATTAAATTTATTGGTGGGGGACGCACTTAAATGCTGTCGTGTACAAATAGATAAAATAAAAAGTCCTTTTTTCGACAATTCTGCAAAAAAACACATTTCAAAAAAGTACCTTATCTTCAGAAAGGCTTTTAAAGTATTAATTACAACAGAACACAGTTCCCAAACGGCCAATCCAAGACGTGGAAACTACTTTTTAGGTAGAACTTCACCTATTACATGTTAAAAAGAATGACCGAGTTAGAAGAGGCAACCCGTTCCACATTGGTATTAAATAATACAGACTTAGACTTAAACCTAATCTAAATAAAGAACACTGGATTATTTGTTCTCAACTTTCTCAAATTTTACGGCCGTTTAAAGAAATAACAAGTACAATGAGTGACCAAAAATACTTGAATGCTAGTTCAGTGATTGTTATGGTACGCTGCCTGCAAGAATCTTGCAATAAAATTTTAGCAAACGGCATACTTACATCCATAGTATATGACATAGTACAATTACTAATATCGGGTTTAGCAAAAAGATTTAGAGGGATAGAACAGAGTGGCACATTGTCATTATGTACATTTATGGATTCACGATTTAAAGTGCAGAACAAAACAAAAAGTTAAGAAGCTGGTTACTTCTATAATTAACGAACAAGAAGATTGTACGATTGAAAATCAACCAGTACAAGAAAAAGAAACCAATAAATATGACTTAAGTCCATGGAGTATTTTTGATCAATTAATTGGAGATAACTCATCTACACGTACACCTGCATCAAGAGTCCATTACAACGGTGGAAAAAACCATCGCCATGTATATCCTAACTTAACCACTATATTCATAAAGTATTGTAAATGTGAACACATGTTCAAAATCTGGTTTAATTTTAAATAAAAAAGAATACGGTTAACAAGAAGTAAAGTAGAAAAACTTGTTTTTCTACTTTACTTCATACTTCAAAAAAACATACTTTTTTTTAGAAAAAGTATGTTTTTATGTCAATTTAGACTATTCGCGATTTAATAATAACGTGTAATGTAAATGTAAGTCCGATTTACTATTTGTATTGTTTAGTTTAGAACAGAATATTTAAAACAGAATATTTAAAAATTGGAGGAAATACCACAGATCTGAGGCTTGAAAACGCAGTCATAAAAGGCTGCAACCAGTATAAATATCTAGGAAGCATCATATCAGCAGATGGCAGAGTTAAGATAGATGTACAAAACCGAATAACCCAAGGGAAAAAATGCATCCGAATACTGAATTCATTACTGTGGTCTAATAAAATAAAGATGCATACCAAACTTCGCGTATACAGAGCAATTGTAGAACCAATTACCACATATGGTGCCGAATGTTGGACGATGACAAAGAATGAACGAGATAAAGTAGACGTTGTGGAAATGGATTATCTTAGAAGGTCATGTCGAGTATCGAGAATGGAAAGAATCAGGAATGAGGAAATACGAAACCGTACAGGAATTAGAGATACTCTTTCAGATAGAATACAAGGAAGGCAATTATAATGGTATGGTCACGTGATGAGAATGGAGGAGGAGCGGTGGCCAAAGAAAGCCTTAATGTATGTTCCGCCAGAAAGAAGGAAAAGGGGAAGACCACCAAATTCCTGGAGAAGAGAAATTACAAAAACAATGCAATCTAGAGGCTTAGAAGAGGGAGATTGGGGAGATAGGAAAAGATGGAGGCTGAAATGCGGGAAGCGGCAATCGCCGTAGGACCCCCGTTATATGATGATGATGATTGTTTAGTTTATTTTTCAAGTTATAATAAATATATCATTAGGTAGTTTCCTTCACTTCAAAAGATATACACATAAACGATAATAGCCGTTATGTTTGTTTATGTAGGTACTATCTTACTTGAAACTACTTTTAAACAATCATAGTTACTTGTTTATGAAAATTAAAATTTTTAAATGCTTTTTAGCATTCAAAAAAATTTAAATTTTTTTGGAATCCTGAGAAAACTAACAAATATTTTTGAAAAATTTAAATGCAGAATGAAAGATTACATTATTACCGAGGGCCGAAGGTCCCTTAGAATAAACAAAAAGTTTTTTTAATGAGATATTTGAAATTAAAAATCACACTAAATTTTGTTTTTTTTTTCATCCCTATAACTTATAAAAATAACCATTATAGAAGTTTTCAGGGACTTTCAGCTCTCGGTAATAATGTATTGTTTCATTCTGCGTTTAATTTTTTCAAAAATATTTATTAGTTTTCTCAGGATTCGAAAAAAATGAATGCATTTAAAAAACATTGGCCCGAAATTTTGCTCCTACGCTCTTAACGATAAACTAGCACGACCCACCTCTACTTCTCGTTACTCGATCTTTTGACCAGACGACTATCTAGACTAGACGTTGCCAAATAAATTAGTGTATGAATATTTTTTAATTTGGCGTTATTGTATGCATGTTTAATTGTTTATTATTTCATATTGGGAAATTATTTTGATGTTTAGATTTTTAGTTCGGAAATCGTACTTAAAATACGAAACATTAATAAATTTTATTTATAAAACGATTTCCGAAATGGAAATCAAAATGTTATATTACAATTATTGTAAAGAAAACTTGTGGCATATTCCCAATAAAAAAAAACAGTAACCTGCCATTTAAATCAATTTCGCCCAAATTTGATTATCTTGAGCATTTTATCTTCTTGATAGAACATTGTTAAAATGCAAAAAAAGACAACAGGTCAAGTAAAACCAATAAGTTTGGCAACGTTGAATTTCCCCTTTTTAATATTTCCATTCGGCGATATAAAGGGCGTACCTAATATACCTCTCTCTTTTTTAAACAGCTGTTTCTCACTCCATCTCACGTAAGGTCCATACCGACCATAAAATTTTTCCTACACTGTATATATATATATATATATATATATATATATATATATATATATATATATATATATATATATATATATGAAGTTAAATATCGATAGCAATTAAAGTAAACTGTATAACCCAAGCTTAATCAAGCCATTCAGAGCGATGCTGAGAATATTAAAATTCCACTATGCATCAACAATTTACCCATATAAATTACTATCATTTTTGTACTTATTGCGTCGAGTAAGGACAATAACAAAATAAATGAGGGTTGCGTTTCGATTTAATTTGAGTCTCTTACCACTCCCTGACACGTGTTTCTGGGTCTACCCGTCATCAGTAGGAGTTTGTAATAAGACTCAAATGAAATCCAAACGCACCGACTACTAAGGCAATTATAGTAAAAATAATTACCAGAGTATGCTACTAGAGGCCTCTAGTGAAAAAACATGAAGTTAAATATCAATAGCAATTAAAGTAAACTGTATTACCCAAGCTTAATCAAGCCATTCAGAACGATGCTGAGAATATTAAAATTCCACTATGCATCAACAATTTATCCATATAAATTACTATCATTTTTGTACTCATTGCGTTGAGTAAGGACAATAACAAAATAAATGAGGGTTGCGTTTCGATTTAATTTGAGTCTCTTACCACTCCCTGACACGTGTTTGTGGGTCTACCCGTCATCAGAAGGAGTTTGTAATAAGACTCAAATGAAATCCAAACGCACCGACTACTAAGGCAATTATAGTAAAAATAATTACCAGAGTATGCTACTAGAGGCCTCTAGTGAGGTAACATGAAGTTAAATATCGATAGCAATTAAAGTAAACTATATAACCCAAGCTTAATAAAGCCTTAATCAATATATATATATATATATATATATATATATATATATATATATATATATATATATTATATATATATATATATATATATATATATAATTAACATCGATAATTGGCAGATAAAATCATTGGACAGAAGAAAATGGAAATAAATTGTAAAGAACTGCATGGAAAAATTATATAATATAATTAAATGTATTAATCAATTAATCAATAGTCAATTTAATAAAATCTAATTAAAAGTAAATAAAAAATAAAGCAAAATACAAGTATTAAAATAGACCTAGTGATTCAAGCCTGATGAAATTTACAAACATAAATGTATAGACATTATAGATATAGATATTAAATCGTATACAATGCAATTACTATATTGCTGCATAAAATTTGAATATGGTAATCATGGATTAGTTTAATAATATTTTAATTTTAAAATTATTATAAAAATTACTAAAAATGTCTCTTATTTTTTTTAGGTAATAATGAAACAAACATATATCCTCGTGGTAAGGGTGTTGGTGGTTCTACATTAATTAATGCTGCAATCTGTACTAAAGGCAATCCTGAAAATTATAATAACTGGGCTGAAATTACCAACGACTTAACTTGGACTTACAATAATGTTTTAAGGTATTTTAAAAAAGCAGAAAATTTTCACTGGACAGACCAATATTCTCCAGTAAATATAAAATATCATGGTACAAAGGGAATGATGGATATTCAACAGAGTGCACCACACAATTTCCTTACTCAGACATTTTTGGACGCTAACATTGACTTAGGAATTAATCTCACAGATTATAATTCACCAAAACAACTGGGTGGTTCTGTTTTTCAACTGTTTCTAAAAGATGGTAAAAGGGAAGACACAGGATCGATCTATATTATACCATTTCTTAAAAGAGGCAACCTTCAAGTATTGACTAAGAGTTTTGTGACGAAAATAGAAATAAACAATTTAAATAAAACGGCATCAAGCGTTATATTTACCAACTCACGACGAACATTTCGAGTAAAAGCAAAGAAAGAAATTATTTTATCAGCTGGAGTAGTTGGTAGCCCACAAATATTAATGCTTTCAGGTATTGGTCCTCAAAAACATCTTCGAGAAATTGGTATAGATGTTATAACAAATTTAGAAGTTGGATCCAGCTTTGTCGATCATCCTTTAGTTATAATTGGTTTTACGTCGAATATAACTGTTCCCGAAGAACCACTAAAAGAAGATATTGCTGATTTTTGTCAAGGAAAAGATAGTTTGACCAGATTTCCGATACCACAGGGAGTAGGGTTTTATAGAGTTAACCCTCACGGAAATAAAAAAGCTCCAAATTTGGAAGTTTTTCCAACCGTTTTAAAGTATTCTCAAAGTATACCAGGACTGTATAAATCTGATACTGATATTTACCAAGCCTATTTCGCTAACAGCGATCAACAGATGGGTTTCTATTTTTCGAACATTGCACCGATTTCAAGAGGAACAATAAGGTTGAAAAACAAGGATCCTTTTGAATATCCTTTAATAAACCCAAAATTCTTCTCAGATGTTAATAATACAGATATTGAAGTCTCATATCAAGGAATAGAGCTAATATTTAATATGACTAGAACACCATCATATCAAAAATTCGGCTTAAAATATGTAGCTAATCCTCTTCCTCAATGTGAATCATTTACAAAAACTTCTAGAGAGTATTGGTATTGTTATTTAAGATACATGGCAGTTACATTTTATCATGGTACTGGCACATGCCCTATGGGCAAAAGTCATAAAAATGGCGCAGTAGTAAATTCAAAACTAAAAGTTTTTGGTATAAATAAATTAAGGGTAGTGGATGCTAGCATTTTTCCCACTCCTGTTGCAGGTCATACTGAAATGCCAGTTTTAATGGTAGCTGAAAAGATATCAGATGATATTAAGACTTACTATTTATAAAAGTATAAATTAAATTAGGGTTAAATGTAATGTATTTATTTTAAACTAAAATATATATTTTTACACCAATTAAATATTTTTCTATGCCTAATAGTCCAGTGTATCACGATAAAAATATGGAAACCTCAGATTTTCATTAACACACATCGATTTTAATAAATTGTGAAACTATCCTCTATTTACCTTTAACTTTTAGCGAAGTGGAGAACCTACTAGAAAATACTGGTTAGAATAATAAAATGTTTACATGTTAAATATGAGTCATATCTATCGTAACGATATACTGATTAGTAGAAACTGAAATAAAAATCTAACCACTAATGACAACTATATTTATAAATTTTGTTAAACACAGTTTAAATAATTTACCTACATGTAAAAGAAAAGCTAAAATAACAGTAGTGGTGGGGGTGTAAGGGTAAGATAGGGCCCAATAACCACGAACAAATGAAAATACTACCACTATTGTGCCAAGTAACAAGGGTATAGTAAAAACAATAATCTAAAGTCCAGGAAAAAAAGAGAAATAACTTTACACTTTTTCTTCTCATGTCGCCGTCTCCTTTGGAAGGTTGGCGATCCAAATGGTAATTGTGGTTTTGGAAACTGCTGCGCGAAATATTTCTGCAGATGAGCGGTCAAACTATCTCCTCAGTTGTTTCAGCCATGAGTTCTGGCGTCTTCCTACTGATCTTTTGCTCTGTACTTTTCCTTCTAGTATAAATTGAAGTAATTCATATTTTTCGTCTCTCGACACATGACCCAAGTATTGGATTTTTATCTCTTGGATTATTTTTAGTAAATCTTTTTCTTTACACTTTCGACGAAGTACCTAAACATCAGTAACTCTTTATACCCATGGAATTATCAACATCCGTCTGTATATATACATCTCAAAGGCATCTATTCTTTTTTCTATTTTAGAGTCCATTGTCCAACTTTCACAGCCATACAGCAAGACAGAAAAAACGTAACATCTAATCATTCGGATTCTAAGCTGCAGACTAAGGTCAGATCTTGTAAAAAATGTTATTATGCTCATGAATGTTTTCCTTGCTTGTTCGATTCTTGATTTTTTTTCTTGGATTACACTCAGTATTGATATTTGCTCCTAAATATTTTATGAAATTTACCTGTTCTATCATTTGACCTTTGGCATACACATGTACGTTTATTGGTGTTTAAAGGTTATTATTAGAATACAAAGTAAACCCTCTCGCCTCTACAAAAACCAACGGCGATGAAAGTCTGGTTGGAATAAGCCAAGCTAATTTTTTCAAGTGTTGCTCTTCAAATAATGTGCAACTTTATGGGTGTATGGGTATATGAGTGGATGGACGGCGAATCTAGAAACTAACTTCAAGAAATTCCAATTTTTTCTAAGAATGGTTATAACAGTACATATTTCACATCCGATCGTTCGATAAACGGTCTAGGCAGCTAGGACTTGTTACTTTATTGGAAAGACAAAGAAAACTAATAAGAAACGATACATGTTACAATAAAAATGAAGGCCAATGAAATTATGACATAAAAACGTTGATTCGATTTTGTTTCTTACAAAATAAATAACGAGATATATGGATATTAAACGAACCGATTTTATAAACTAAATAATTAAGATTGCTTACCTGAAACTAGTGTTTTAAGACTTTAGAGCGATTGTCATTATGGCATGGGTTGATATCTAATTTATTAATTAATTTGAGTTGCTTTAATATTTAATGATAGTATTAACTAAAATTTCTGCAAATGTAAAAGACACTCACTTCTTAAATCGATCCCAAATTCGCCACCGGAGATGTGCAAAGCTGCTAAGCACTATCGAGTTTTAACCCCAACTGCCAACAAAACTAAGATTTCGCTTGTAGCTCAGCCTCAGTTGACACCACAGCGACCTGTTACATTTTAATTTGGGATGACCTATTTCTCTGATCTACTACTGGCATTTTTAAAACGTGCACATGAATCCTGCAAAACATATCTTAGCTAATCCTACCAGCTTTATGAGTACTTTTATTTCTACCTTTACCTTCCACAGAGTATCCCTGTTTACCTGATACCCTGATAGTTTTTTATTTAGAAAGTACAGCCGCATCTACCTATATGGTGGATTCACCATACAGGTAGATGCGGCTGTATAGTGTCCAATAAAGTACTTATACTGTAGAAGGGCGCTTAGTGAGTTACTTATGATAACTGAGTTACGAATGTCATTAGAATTTATTTGCAGGTAGCTTTGAGCACTGCATAGATCTCAGCGGAGAAAATATCGTAAAGTAGGTTGGGAGATGAAATTGGTATATATATATATATATATATATATATATATATATATATATATATATATATATATATAATATATATATATATATTGGATTTGAAACTTCCGCGGGAGCTATATGTGATTTCAGTTGTTTTCCGGGTTTGACTCCGCGTTAAGTAATTTTGGTTTTTAGAAAAACCATTGTTTTGACGACGTTTCGGCAAGGTCACACTTGCCATTGTCAAGTCAGATTAGTTCTGCTTCGTCTTGATGTTTCAGGAGAACTAGGTCTTGATGTTTCAGGAGTTCTCCTGAAACATCAAGACGAAGCAGAACTAATCTGACTTGACAATGGCAAGTGTGACCTTGCCGAAACGTCGTCAAAACAATGGTTTTTCTAAAAACCAAAATTACTTAACGCGGAGTCAAACCCGGAAAACAACTGAAATCATATATATATATATATATATATATATATATATATATATATCAAGTGGTGATTCTTGAGGACCAAACTTACTACTGGCATTTGCAGACGATATAGATCTAATAGGAAACACGCGATTAAGGATGAAGGAGACTTTCGTAAGGTTTGAGAAGGAAGCAGAGAAGATGGGCTCCAAATCAACAAAAACAAGACGAAATATATGTATATGAGCCGCAATAACCAAAACAGAGACAGAATCGGTCAGAACATTACCATCGATGACTTTAACTTTGAGCGCGTTAGAGAATTCAAGTATCTTGGAACAACAATAACTGAAGACAATAACGGATCACAAGAAATAAACAACAGGATTCAGGCCGGCAACAGATGTATTTTTTCCCTCCAAAACCTTATAAAATCAAAACAACTAACACGACGTACGAAGATACAGGTCTATAAAACAATCATACGACCCGTTGTGATGTATGGAAGCGAAACGTGGACGATAACAAAGGCAAATGAAGAGAGACTACGTGTTTGGGAAAGAAAAATCCTAAGGAAGATCTTTGGTCCGGTGCTTGATGAAGCATCAGGACAATATAGGATAAGAACTAATAAAGAGCTTGAAGAACTTTACCCAGACGACAACATCATAAAAGAAATAAAGTCCAGAAGACTCCAATGGGCAGGACACCTCAGAAGACATTCTGATGAACGAACAGTAAGACTGGTGTGGGAGGAAGTCCCAACTGGAAGGAGACCACGCGGACGCCCTCGTCTCCGGTGGCGAGATAATATAGCAGGAGACCTAAGCACTATGGGCGTGGAGAATTAGATGGAGGTTGCTCAAGACAGAAAACAGTGGAGGCATGTTGTCGAGTCGGCTAAAACCCACGAAGGGTTGTAACGCCACGGAGTAAGTAAGTAAGTAAGATTCTTGAGGATGCAGTCAGTCTATTTAGCCCACAAGACAAAGAAAACTCTTTAACTTACTGTCAAGCTTTATTCTAATTCTTTTTCAAGACATATGTTAACAAAGAAATATAAAAATTATCTTCTTATAATTAATAACTTATCTTATGGAATATCTTATGGATTATAAGGAACTTATTATATGGGCTTGAATAAGGTTGCCAAAGAAATTAAGTAATCTTGCAGTAGCGTATTAACTAAAGCGCTAAATACAATCGCTTAATGTTTCAAGGAAAATTGTGAAAAGTTGCTGACGAATAGGTTTTGTTTGTATTTGCCTGTAATTTTGATACATGTAATGTGTTAGAAACACTCTGAATATTGGGTTCGATTTTTGGTTTTAACTCGAGACATGTGTTCAAAAATAATACGGACCTGACCAGTAATTAATCAGGTAAAAAATGTAACTTAAGTCAACCTTTTTGATGGTTGTTAAATTACAAAAACTAGTTTACTACTTTATTATAATAAAAACTCATACGATAGGTTACGAAGGGTTCACTTACTGGTGTTTCATAAATATAATTGTCACTTAACCATTTATAATTAAACTGTTAATAATTACTACACAAAATTTGCAAACAGTTATTTGACCTAGAAATGGATATCATAGTGTTATTTTTTTCGTGTAATTAGTGTGATGTGCAATTAGTGTGATGTGCCACATATAAATGAATAAAAAATAACATTTATTAATACATAAAATGAACGAACCGACAACAAGAATATGAAACAATAAATAAAGCAGATAAAAGAAATGCAAGAAGAGACAAAAGAAGATGGGCTGAAGAACTGGCAAAACAAGCCGAAATAGCTGCACAACACAATACAACTAGAGAGCTATACCGAATTACTAGACGTCTAACAAAAAGTGGGCCCAACTGTTCAAACGTCGTAAGATCCAAGACAGGAGAATTACTTACTACAACAAATGACCAAATAGAGAGATATAAAGAGCATTTTCAGGAGATGCTAGGCACGCACAGGGATAACGCAGATAAAATTAATAACGCAGAGATAATAACAGCTATCAAATCTCTGAAAAATAACAAGTCTCCGGGAATCGATAACATTGCTGCCGAAATACTTAAAACTGATCCGCACCTAACTGCTGAACTTTTGCTACCCATAATCCGAGAGGTGTGGGAAACAAACCGGATTCCAGCGGGCTGGAAAAAAGGCATCATTAAGCTTCCAAAAAAGGGCAACCTCACACTATGCAAAAATTGGAGAGGAATAACCTTGCTTACCGCCATAAATAAAATCTTCACGACCATCATACTTAAAAGATTAACAAACAAGGTTGAATTTCGAGCTAATCAAGTAGGCTTTAGACCAGAATCCTCCTGCATAGACCACATTAATACTGTGAAGCTAATAATGGAACAATCGGTTGAATGGA